CTGTCTGACTGAATGACCCGGTTCTGAAGCAGCCCCACATCGCGCGAAGCGGCGCGCATCAAATCAAACTTCTTTAAAATAAATAAACAAATAATTGTGGCATTTACTTTTTATCATGTCTTCAGATCTACTTGGCCAAACAACACAATTTAAAAACTGGTTTAAAGTTCGAAGTCTCTGCTTTTCATTCGAGAGTCTCAGAGAGGGCGGATCTACAGGTAGTTTTTTTTTCCTTCCCAAACTTTATTTAGCTCAGCCAGCATTGACAACGCTCTGCGGGTGACAAACGGCTCGGCGACACGGCGATGGACACATAAATGGRGGGACACAACGAATCGATAATGAAACTCGTCAACGCTTTTAATAATCGATTTTTATCGATTTTAATCGATTCATGGTTGCAGCCCTAGTCCAGTTGGACGGTCTGTTCCTGATGATGGACTCAACAGAGCTCAGGATAAACTAGGGCTGTGCGATATGGCCTATTTTCTTCATCCCAAATGCAATTTTTGATTTCAATCGATTTGTTTCCCACTTAACAAAGTGCCTGTTTCAGGTGTTGAAACTAATTTGTTGTACTCCTGCTTGRTGTAGCAAGAACAGATTTAGCAGTGAGGTGTTTGTTGCTCCAAGTCTGAGGTTGCAAAACCTAACCAGTTCCAGAAAACTGAAGAAACTGTGCATTTTTGAGAAGTAGATCCTCTTTGCTAGCTGTCATTTTGTCAGGCCGGTGGGGTGACCTCTGAACTAAAGAAACCCCAAAGTGTGCACTAGTGGGGAAAAAAAATCCAGATTTTCCCAAAATTAAATCTTTAAATAGAAAATTTGATTAATTTGATTAAATCGATTTATTGCCCAACCCTAGGATAAACCCCATCTCATCCCTGTACTGTGCTGAACATACATGTGAACACAGAAACCAGCACGTCCTGTACCTTATCCAGAGGAAATGTGTTGTTTCCAATAGAGAACAGGGTCAGAGTGTGAGATCCAACCAGAACAAAGTTACTGGTTCTGACGGCGTTAGGGCCTCCAGGACTCGCCACCACTACCAAAGACAAGAGGTTGGAAAGACTGAACATGACTGACACTGACCCGTCATACTCAAGTTGGATGTTAGAGGAGGTCTCTCACCTGGAGTCTGTGCACTTTTCTGTAAGAATGTTAAACAACACAAATGTTACACATTAGTAAATACATTCATACATGCTGCAAACAGGAAAATATCAACTTACGGTAATGGCGAGGAACCTCTTTGAGGTGATGGCCTACAAAGACAAAAATAAACAAATTAAAAATATTCAAGAGTATTTCTTTGTGTTCCTGCCCCTCACCCACCAGACAGATTCTGAGTGAAATAAGACCCTCAGTGTACCTTTGACTTGTTGGTTTTCTTCTTCTTGTCACTGCAGACTTCACTTTTCTGCACCTGAAAACAATGAACCTTCCATCACAACCCGACAGTAAAAGTATGCTGAGAAAACAATGTTGCTACAGATTTCTCCATTTAAASGGYCAYTARCATGTAAAATCAACTTTTTTGAGTTTTYTATCATGTTATAATGTTATACTCTCATAAAAAACATGTCCWAAGCCTTGCTCTGACTCATTCATCATGTTTGAGAAATCCTGCAGTGTTTTTATGAAGACATGCTGAGGAGCAAAACGACAGGTGAGGACCAGAAACACCCCTGGGACGTGTCTTTAAGCTGAACTTCCTCATGGCAGAGCACACCCTCCCCTCCCCACACACCCCGCCCATGACTCCCGCAGGCTCTCGGCAGTAACAAAGCAAGGGTGAAACTGAAAGTGAAACTTAAACTGTCTGCTGAGCTCCTAACACTACCTCTCACTCAGTGAAGTTCTTTTCAGATTCATAATTAGAGATGTGACGTTTGCGAACGATCCGAATCTTTTGAACGGCTCTTTATAACGAACGATATGAGCCGAATCACGGGCAGTGACGAGCCATTTGTAGTTTTATTTCTTTTATTTCTCATATAATCTTTATTTTTATCTTACTTAAGTCGCTCCCGCTTTGCTTTTTTCACAGAAAACATGCAGAGTTGTGGAGTACAGAAGCTCACGGTGAAAGGGGAAGTGGGGTTTCCTCTTCACAAACACATGGTTCCACCTACGTGACGGGATGACGTCATTACGTACGGCTACGTGATGACGTCATACGTTCAAAATCAAACGGCTCCCCAAGATCTGGATCCCTTCAAAGAGCCATTATCTCATCTCTATTCAAAATACCTTTGAGAAAATATATTTTCAGATGCCAAGTAAACTGCATCATAGCGCGTCCGCACCCCCACCCCCCCCCACGCTGAAATGGGTGGGACAGAAGCGGAAGGTGGTTCTTAAAGAGACAGAGGCCAATTTCAAGGCGTTTAGAAGAGGAAGTGATGAGAAGATAAGTTTATTTTCTATTTAAACATAAAACAGCATTTTAATAACAGCTAAAGGTGACATAGATACTTTATTATGGTATAGTATTTAAATATATGCCTGAGAAACACATAATATTGGCCCTTTAACATCAGCTAAAGTGTTTTTGTGACTGTTCGAAGTAAATCAACATTACGTATGGTGACACTCACCAAACTGTAGACTTTCAGCTCGATTTTAAAGTCACTGCCAACATCAGACCTGAAATTGTCCAAACAGCAAAGTGATGAAACTGAACAGAGAACCAATCAGAGAGCAGGATGCTCTTAGAACACGACTCACAGGGTGAACCTGGTGGGGAAGCTGAGGGTGTCCCCACTGAGACCACGGTGTGTGCTGGCTAAAGGCGTGGCCACGCTGTTCTCTGCTCCGGCCCCCATCAGGATGAAGAAGGAGTGTTTGGTGGACTCTGAAACCACAGAGACTCMGCTCAGCAACACAGCTCCAGTTTAAAACCAGCTGCTGGACTTCCTGTGGCTCTACCTGGTCTGTTGGCGATGGAGCAAACAAAGTCCGCCTTGAGGGGCAGACGAAGGTCCTGCAGGGTGATGGAGCCTTTGGAGGCAGACACAGATCCAGGTTCTGGAGCTGCAGGGGTCTTCCTCTTTGCTGCTGGGTCTCCTTTTAACCGCTCGAGCTCTGCCTTCAAGGATTCCCTCTTCTCAGCTGAGGAACAGTTTATTACAGCGTCAGCTTTACAAGGTTTTAGTGCTGGGCGGTATGACCTCAAATTCATATCACGGTATAAATTGAATCCCTTCACAGTAATGGTATATATCACGGTATAAAATTATCATAAAAAGCAAAGATAATGTAATTTTTAGAGCAGGGTAGGCCAACCAGTAGATTGGGATCTACCGGTAGATCTTTAGCTAGTTAGCAGTAGCTCGCGGAGCTTGTAGAACGCAACATTGTTTAACATTGCAGCCTTAAACGCGCTCTTCGCAACATTTGTTTAACAATGCATTCTTGAACGCGCTCCAGTCTCGCTAGTTTTGGGTGCTGTGAAACAGCACTCCGAACATGGTCTTGCGAGATTAGGGTCATGTGTTAAAACATGGCAGCGAGGTGAAAAAAAATGATGAACGAAAGACAGCTAACAAGCAAATAAAAACTTATTATTTTCACCTGGAYTGGGYAGAGGACRCATATGTYATTCGAGTGCTGCCTTGGCTTGTCCAAAAAGGATAACGTGGAACAGCATTTCTTTTAAAASAATGCACAGACGCTACGAGGRGGATTTCCCCTCCTAAGGTAAGGCTGCTATGCTAATGCAGCCSRGTACCTGCCTCYACACACATCTTTCAGAGATGACGAAGTTGTGAAAGAAGCGTTTGATGCTGCAGACGTGCTTTTCTATGATTTTAAAAACCTGGCCTCCTCTCAGTGTCAGAAGTCCCACTAACGTAGATTATACATTATCCAGACAGGCTCTGGTGTCATGGCTACCCAGCAACGGAGCTCAAAAGTGTGGGATCATTTTAACAACATGAAAGAGAAACCTGTGCAATATCTGTGTAGCGGAAACGTGAATATCTTCTCAACAAGAGACAGTCAAACTATTGTTCCTGTTAACTCCACCTTTTTCATCCTGCCTGCAACATCTCAAAGTTTGAATAATGACTTCTCCTGTTATCTCATCTGATACTTCTGCCTTAGGCCTTAGAARAAAGACTAGACTTCCTGTCGCCAGTTAATTTGTTTATCACCTCTTTCAGAATAAGACTGGAATAAACATTGTTTGACATCAAATGGCCCCTGGTGTTAAACAAGGAGACAGAAAACATCAGGACTCCCATCAGATTTATCTGTGGGTCAGCAACGCCACCCTGTGGACATTTAATCTACTAACCCTGAAAATATTTTATTTTTCACCCATGTTTTCCGTTTARAACTATAAAAAGCATCTGTTAAGTGTCAAAACAATACCTTGGTACTCTGATTMAATTACTGTAATAATCAWGACATTGTTTAAGTAACTTGATCTGGTTGATTAACTATTACTCTGTTCTTCTGTTACATGTCCGGATGGTGCCATGTGACCACCGCAGAAAGTTTTAACCAATGAGAAGTTCCATTGTGAACAAGGAGTATTTCATTGTTCTGCCATGTGTTGAGTTCGAAGAAGCGTTTGAGGAGAGAGTAGTTTTTCAGCTCCAGCTTCCCCCCATTCCGGAGCGAGGCCATTCTTTTTCCAACTTTATTTCCTTTTTGTAGTTTAATCTGAAGGTGCTTTCAGGAAGGAGATTTACATTGATTGAAACAATGAGGCTGATTTAATTCAAGTCGGACAACCTCAGTGTGCCCGCAAGGAATGCAGCTGCTGTGGTGCACTGGACAACATTCTCCAGTGAATGCAGCCCGGTAATCCAGATGACCAGGAAACTTCTGCACAGCTAAGTCACAGACTCGGTTGGACTTCACGTGCCAGCCCAATTAGCATAGAAGTATCCATTCTGGCGTCTACAAACTTTGCCGGTAGGAAATATCTTGCTTAATTAATCTGATGGTGTGTTCAAAGACTTAAATCAGATCAGAGTTTAATCAATGTTCATTCTTCTTCCACTGAGCTCCCTCTCTGTTTGCTGTAGACTTAGGAATAGCGAGTTAGTGTCTCACTGAAGTATGTTAGAAAGTTGTTGACATGGTAGCCATGTCAGACTACTTATGCCACTCCTTGATCAAGTTTACGTAACTGATTATAAAGTGTATTTTTGTCTGAGAAATGACTTGTAATGCATATATTTCCCTCTGAACCTCATTTTAAATAATACACGGATAAATTTCCAAATGTGATTTGTCTCCGTCAGTGTATTTCCTCGTCTCACGCCATCATTAAACTGAAAGAATTAAACGCCTTCATATTTAGAGATTGAATATTAAGAGAAAGTTTTTCTGAAGTTTTACTACAAAAACTTTAGTGGTGCCTCGAGGTAAGATAAATTTGCATATTTAAATAATTCACAAATTATCCATTTTAGAATTTGCCCCCGTAAGGTGAAATTAAACATTTCTTACAGAGTTTGTTTAATTTTAGCGTTTAAAACCTCTACATCTGCAAGGCAGAACTTGACTTTCACAGCAATTATTTTTAGTTAGCATATAGCCAAAATCTAAAGATGGTTATATAATAGCAGCTGCATTCTAGCATGATAAGCTGTACGTTTTATATTCAATTAATGTATGATCCGATTAGTCGACTAATCAAAAAAATAATTGGTGATTAATCGATTATAAAAATAATCGTTTGAGGCAGCCCTAAACACGACGTAACTTTTCTACAGTGGGAGGGGGAGATTTGATGGTTTATTCTCTTTATACATGTTTTAAAACACTATATTACTTAATTTATTCTCAGAATATTTCAAACTCCTCCTGCTCAGTTGTCTCTGCACTCTCAGCCATGTTGACACAGGTGTGATGACGTCACTGACGACAGGACGGTAGAGTATAAATTTCTACTGTAGGACAACTTCAWATCATTTCTACCGTCTATCACATACATCACACAGCCCTGACCTGTTTGCTTCAGCAGCTCCTGAACCTGAGATCCTGTGGAAGCAGTTTCTCACTCACAGCTTCAGTTTTTAGTTTAATAAACGACTCGTGGAGTCTGCTGTGGGCTTTTGCTCATTTAGTCCCGACCAACAGAAAACCAAACAGGACTTTGTTTTTCTAAAGACAAACTGTGTCATCATGTAGTGTTTTCCCASCCAGCTGCACAGTGAGCTGGTTTCCTGTAAGTAACACTGACTTGTTTGCAGTTTGGAGGAACTCACTTGCGAGCAGCAGCAGGCGCTCTGCCTCAGCCTCCACCTGAGAGCCTTTCCCATGCTCTTCATCCGTGCAGCAGTTCAGAGCCTGGCTGGCCTGGTGGATGATGGTCTGCTGCAGGTTCATGTCGTTTGTCAGCATCTACAAAGACAAGTTGTTTCAGAGCAGCAGAGGAAGTGTCTCCAACTCCAGAGCAACACAACAAGTTGTTTCCAGACCTTCATCCTCTGTTTGATACTGAAGAGAGAAGCTCCTCGAGGCTCCTCTGCTCTCTGAGACACAGCTTCTTTTCTCACAATGACCTGCTTCACAGTGGGCCTCTCAGGCTCCTTCACCCGGATCGACCTGTAGGCATCGATGCTGAGACACACACACACACATGGCTCATACCAGGACTCACTAACACAGTGCAGTCTACAGGGTGTTGGTGTTTCTCTACCTGTAAGGCAGTTTGTTGTCCTCGTCTGAAGCCTCGACACTATCTGAGGAGGAGCTTCGGACCACGTTAGCTCTCTGGAACCTGCTGGGTTTAGAGATGTTTTCTGGAGTGTTGTTCATCACAAGGAATGAGCTGGAGGGAGTGGAAGTCTGCAGAGAGGCAGAACATAAAGCAGCTGTTTGTTTCTGCGTGAGGATTCAAAACGTTAGAGAAAGAGACGGAGGCCCACCAATAATCTGCCCWCTGGACTCTTCACCACAGCAGCCACAGTCTCTGCCAGGGGAGTGAGGAGGGACATGGAGGAGATGTTCAAAGCGTCCTCCTCTTCCTCCTCACTCTGCTCCAAGACGTCATTAAACAGCTCGTTGATAACTGCAGAGTTGATGGACTGGTCCACATTTGTCTCCGTCTCTTTGACCTGCTCCAGTTCCTTCTTCTCTGCAGTTTTATCCTCCTCCAGGATAGGGCTCACCTCCGCCGTGGGGCTCACCTCCAGGATAGGGCTCACCTCCGCCGTGGGGCTCACCTCCAGGATAGGGCTCACCTCCGCCGTGGGGCTCACCTCCTCCACAGGGCTGGACGTTGAGGCTGGAGGAGGGAATAGTCCAGGACCTGCTGGATTTAAAAAAACAAATTCTGACTATCTGATGATGATAAACTGAAGGTGTGTGTGTGTGTGTGTGTGTGTGTGTGTGTGTGTGTGTG